AAACAACAGGTTTTACTGAACGTAGCTGTTAAAAAACTTTTAAAATACTTTCAATTAAGGGTTGTTTCTGACCGTTAGAATTTTCATAACTCAGGAAGGAAGAGAGACGGAACGCTAAAATTTTCAGGGTATCTAGCAGACCTCTAGAGTGACCACCAAAAACATTTCAGCTTGCTGCAACCTTTCTAGGCGCAGTTCTGAATTTTTCTATTTTTGCTAGTATCCGCTGGGAAAAGTAAAAATATGGCTGTAATTTTTGAGGAAAGAGTCATGGGCCCATATCCATTTAGGCTTTTTACTTGTTCCAATCCTCTATCGAATGACGTATGAGCGAATGAAATCGAAAGAGTTCACCGAAAAACGTTCCCTCGTAAGGTAGAGATATATGCAAAAGATAGTGAATTATTCCGAACTTTATCTTATTTCCAGAGTCTGTTTATTTTATAAAAAGAGATCTTGTGTTTAGGACATTTATGGTGATGCATCAATCTATTATGCCGTAGCACATAACGATAAACCATTAACTGAATTTCTTATCAACGAATGTAAAGCTGATGTTTATTGATTTTAAGAGAAAAGTCGTTGTATATGTGTATGTGTAAAAATAAGAAAAAAGAAGCAAATAAAGCACAACATGCAGATAGGACGACTTTTTGACAACAACGTTAAAAATTCATCTTTACTATTATTCCTGTCCATGTATAAAAACAGTGTAAAATATATAAAAATTAAGTTTTACACAGAAAAGGTGTATTATGTGTATCCGATAACAAGTTCATAAAATTCTTTTTTCGTATGCTGCTAATTTTTTAGAACCTTATCGACAATAATAAAAATTTCCTTCGCCCAGTTTAGAGTCCAACAGCAGTAGAACTATAGCGATTTCTTCAAATTTAAAATATCATGAGTACAACATTGTTGAAAAACAAGTACAGAGAGGAAGATCATGGCCAAAATGATCTCTACTGTACGTCAAAAATGAAAGTGCCGGTTTTATTTCTCTTTCCCTCTGATCTCACACTTCTTCATTCTACTTTATTTTCGTATATTGCATATAATAGAACGACATAAGTAAGAAAACGTTTTATTTTATTTTAACAGAGGTTATGTTGTTTATTGAGATACCATTTCTTCCATTTTCAGAAGAAGCGCTACTCGCTATAAATTTAGTCCGTATTCTGCCGACAGCAAGAATTAAAATTAAAATGATTAGCGAGTACTCATTTCCGCTTTTTGTATTACTTTGAAGTGTACGAGTTGTACTATGTATTGATTAAATGTCCACTAAACGTTTCGCGGTTGCCTAGCGAACAATGGTATTCAGAGGGAGCTTACGTCCAAATTGTGCTTTTTCTGGTAAAACTACTAAAACTAAACTCGAAACAATACATTCTGCCGAGTTTAAGATGTCACTTTAATTTTTTATTTTACTAATGAGTAAAATTTAAATACACAATATCCCTTATTATTCTCACCCGAAGAGAAAGCCGGAAAGTCATGGTAGTCGAAAAGAGTTTATCTAGCTGCGGAATATAAAAGCATAAAGTAAGGTTTATTAAATGTTATTCATCAATAATGAGAGCCACATATCTCAAAAACCAAAATGAGTCTTTTTCTTGAAAATACATCAGTGTACAGTGAAACTTCTGTATTTCAATTAGCCAAAATGACAGCTTATAACACAAATTGAAGTGGACGCTGTCTTTCATGGGCACAGAATAATTGATGCAGCATATAAAATTATAAAATTTAGTCTTTTGTCGTTTCTGGCTTTCTATGTTCACCTCTATATGCGCGAAGAAGGAAGAGAGATCAAAAAGATGGTTTTCTTTGAAGTTGGAAGGTGAATTGAGTTGTACTGTAATGTAGGAAAACGTGAAATTTCAACACGGAGATGCTCGATTAAAAATCACGGTTACCTTAGCGAGATCTTTTCGACGTACAACGTAATCGAGTACGCCTAATATCTAGGACTCCCAAACCAGTTCTCTTTAGAAAATAATGGTCAAACTTTCATATGTTACGCCTTTCCGTTTCGTTCCACAGTATAGTTCAGCAGCAGCATGAGTCTATTCTATCATCAGTCTATGTAATACCTGAACAAACCCACTATGACAACGGTAGTGAAAAATCATTCTTACTGGTTGTTTAAGACCATATTAGCAGTGATAAGGCCAAATAGAATATACATATTACCTATAATTAATTACCCCAGTTATATGTACTTTGATGTATTATATATAAGAGTTAATAAAAAGAAATCTATAGAAAAAGATGAAGAAAACGATGAAGAAAAGATAGATTTTAGATATTTTCTCTCTTATACAAACATCAAAGAGAAGCTCTTTACATTCTACGATTGTTACGTTTGCTACGATCATAATTTTGACGGCTTCCCTTACAAGATAGATCATTTTCGTTTCACTATTGAAATTTTATTTCAGAACAGATTAAAATGTTGATTAAACCGTCCAGGGGATCAATATTCGCGGCGACTGTGTTTCGACTTCATGCACTCTCCTCTCAAAAAACTTTTTTTATCTTATATCCGAATTTGATGAGGCTTTCAGCAAATATTTGCCATATCAAAGTGTGGTTATCAAATTTTGTTTTCCTCGCTATCTCGTACCGTTCTGGGATTTTCCACAGTGCAAGGTCATAAAATCCCCTCCACTGTGGGACGCTTTTTTTAAATGTACTTCAAGCTAGAGATCTCGGATCTTTTTTCTTTCCACAATCGATCTTGAAATCATAATAAATATTATTATTGTGATGACGAAACACATTCTGATTAAAAATACTAGTAAGCGTGATGGTTTTCGTTGCTGTGTTGTATTTCCGGTTGATGCTAGAGATAGTTGTGAGAGTAATAATTGCTGATTTGATGATAAGGCCATTATGTGATTTTGTTATTGTGAAAATCTACAATTTAATACTTTGCATTTGTACAATATGCCATTAATAGGAAATAAATGACTTTTAGATCAAAATTTTTTCACCACTAAATCGGCCATTGAATACTGTCTATGTGACATTATCTGAATTTCCAAAAATCTCACTTTCGTTTTTTCGCCTAATTTCCATGTGGTTGCCCACTGTGCCTATGAGCAAGTGTCTGATGAGCATCTGTCCAAGCGAGCATCAGTCCGAATTGCACAAAAGTTTTTGTTTAGGGGCAGAACGACATCAATAATATACTACGATTCGACACTAAATTTTCATACCGTTCCGTCCCTTTTTACCCGTCTTTTTGCTTTAATACTTACCAATACCAGCTGCTCCAACGATTACTCGAATTTTTGGTGGCACAGATACAAACTGATAAAAGTTCTTATTTAATTGTGAACGTGCAACATCTGCATTAACAGTTCTAAGAATTATATATGGCTTCATTCCTTTTCGACATGTAAGTTCACGTGAAAAATAATAAACTTCGGCATGCTGTATATTTTGTCTTGATAATGAATCTTGTTCATTTAATAATAATTCACGTACACGATGATGCATCTTGTCTATATCAAGTACAATAAATATCAAATGTGTAAATGTTCGAAACCATGTTTCCATATCTAAGTAATGTTGGAATGTAGCTAGTATAGATTTATCGTTTGGTTTAGCATGTAATGTTACCAAATATTGTTCATTTTGCTCTATCATTGGTGCCGTTATTGTTATTGGATCTCTGAGATTTTTTCTCGTTGTTTGTGTGCTCACTAGTGAATACAATTGTTTACTGTCACAAAATATTTCGTTTAAAAATAGACATAATTTTTTTAGAGATAAATCGGTGTTATCACCACGTTGAATCTGATACTCCTCATATCAAGCTGATATTGTTTCAACGGATAAATTATCGTCATGTAGTCTTAATGATTTTAAATAATGAGTTAAACATTCAATAGTTAATTGTTGTTCTTGTTCATTAATTTTTTCTTGATTTCGACTATCCCATGTAAATGTTTTGTACAACTTTCTTAAAAAAATAAGTTTTGTCTTATTGTAACGAAATGTTTGTAATAGAATGAGCATAATCATTATTTGACGATTAGAAAATAATTTTAATAATTTACTTTCCTCACGATAACGCTCTAACTCTAGTATCCAGTTTTCGTAGCGAATTTTTAATGCATCACGTATCAATTTCAAATTATCAGTACCAACTTTGAGATGTATCTCCAATTGTTGATTACTAGCTGACTGCTCATTACTTTTAAATTTCGACAAAACTGTATTCACTTCACGTAAAATTACACCTCTTCTTGAAATCAAGCCTTGTACGTCTTTTGAATTTTTTCTTAAAGTATTTCCCTTACTCTAAGCGCCTTTTCATATAACTAGTGGTACAGAATAAATGTCTCATTCAGTATTTTCTCAATAGCTTGGTCAAGGTTAATCGCCAGGTCTCAATCTTTTTCCAAAAAGATTCCCCATTCAATTCTCTACACAAAACATGTTGAATATTTCTCTATAAACTGTAAGAATAAACAAATGGAGAAAATACGGGAAAACTCCTTGATCTTGATTACTTTCAAACCTAAAAGACTACGTAAAATTAATTTATTTTGAACACGGTGCTATGCATCAAAGTGGAATCGGAATGTATTTTCTCGTACTCCGGAGTATCGTCTTTCTTTTTATGTATCATAAGTTCGCTTTAAACCTTTTTTTCTGTTCTCTGTTCGGATGTAACACAAGAATTACTTCCTTCTAGATAAATCAGACCCGTCCTCATAATATGTTGTTTGACCGAATAAGACAAATTTTTTTCTAACGATGGAACATCCCCAACTGTCAGACGCCGTTCGACTCCATATTACGCTCACAAGTAGGCCTCGGTGAGACTAGCAAAAGCGTCTTATTAAAGAGTCTTCATAGCAGCGACGTAGCCAGCACTTGGCCAAGGGTGGGCCATGGTCCACTCCTTAGAAATTTCTTTTTCTTCATTTCGTAGTAGAAAAAAAATGTTTGGATTGAAATCGAAAATAAAAATACTCCACAAGAACATTTTTTACTGTTTTCTTTGGCCAAAAAAAGGTTTGGGCCACCCCTTACTGGAATCCTGGCTACGTCACTGGTTCATAGGCACGGTTGGAGGAGGATTTTTTTCTTGTAGCGATTTTGTCCCAAATCATCATTTTCTAACTTCAGTTTTGAGGCACTTACGAGGGAACATCCCCAACTGTCAGACGCCGTTCGACTCCATATTACGCTCACAAGTAGGCCACGGTGAGACTAGCAAAAGCCTAAAAGGTTTCTTCCCCATGGGCCTTTGAAGCAGAGTTATGACGGCTTTATTAGATTTTCGATCTATTCCTAGGTATTTACTGAAAAATCAAATAATGGAATTTGGACCTGAAATTTTGAGCATAGATCTAATGGACCATAGAATATCCTGAAAGTTTCAGCCCAAAAGAACGTTACGTTCTCGAGATATTGAATTCTCAAGTGAACTCGACTTTTGCGATCTGTCCGTAGTAACATTTTAGAAATTTAGTATCTCGAGAACGTAACGTTCTTTTG